ATGGTGAGTCGAGGGGTGGGTTAGTCCGAAAAGAGCTTGAAAGCAAAATTTATCGCTCGCAACAAAGTCCTTTGGATATGCCTCTGGCCTGCTCTGGAACTCATTTGGATTATCCGTTTGGTATAAAGGCCAAACCGCTATCGTCAAACAAGAAACACTCGTGTACAGTATCCGATAAGCCCGATAAGAGCCGCTTAATCTTATGCCAAGGAAATTGATTTTGCTAATCTTTTTATCTGAAATAACTTCCATAGAAATTGTCTTTTTTTTCGCTTTGTGTACTTCTGATTTTAAAGGATATAAATCACCCCCCGAATAGACCCAGAGGATTTCGATCTCACCCTTAGTGTAACTTAGTTGCGTTGTTTGTTTGTTTTACAGGAGTGGATTTAGACAGTTGCCAATAGGGGGGCGGGTGAAGATCAATAATTTTTAGATGATATACTGAATGTCTAAGATGTAACTGGATGAAAACTGGATAAAACCTTTATGTGAAGTCAAAGTTTCGATGATTTAGAAGGTTTTGAAGCAATGGCGAACTTGGAGGTAGAAAGGGCTACAGCGTCAGTTCTTCGGAAATTTTATAGCTTGTGTAGAAGGAGCATTTTCCATCCAATAATTTGTTGCTAAAAAACTTGCGAAAACAATGTGTATGTTTCCACCCTTTCGTTTGCTTCTGTTATTTAAGTAAAGTAAAAACAAGATTTTCGTCAGTATCATCCGAACAAGAAATCATATCAACCTCGAAATTTGCATTCTCTTATATGATGAAAGTAAAGCTACGTATGGATTTATGAAAATTATCTTCTGCTTCTTTGATGAAAAGGTAGTTCTTTACTCGTGTTAACAAAACAGTCAAAGTGCATCTAGATATACTTATCAGACATTGCAAAAGACGAATTTCCTTTTGGCTCTTCTGAAACATCTTCAACAGCTCCAAATTCGAAAATACATTAATCTACTATTGTGTCGCATTCGTAATGTAATAAAATCAACTTTTCTTCGTGCGTTGGCACGTCGCCATCGATCATCGCACTCTATTACCAGACCTTACTGGAATTGCACGATTTCGATACACGGCCGGATTTCTGCGATAAGAATTTTACATGGGGGAATTACCCGAGCGCCCATGTCTGATGGTATTTTAATCCCGTAGGAATTAGAGATCCCTAAAGTTCGAAGATATTCAAGAAAAGCGGAAGCGCCATAGAAATGTCGATAGATTTGGCTGGAAATTGCTGCTTTAGGTACCTACTGAAACTTTTACACATGCAACCTGCTCCGAAACACACATAAGGATAATTTCGCCTTGTTTAGATGCGGAAAACTGATGATTAAAATGTTCACAAGTTCTAAATTACATCAAGAATACTCTAGATAAAGTAAGCAAGTTGGCCAGTGAAGGCATCGTAAGTGGGACTTTTAAGTCCCATTTGAAATGCCGCATATCTGCTGTCTTATTTCGACATTAAAAATGCACGAGACAAAGAAAACTAGGCCAGAGCGATTTCGAAATGTACACAAATCTAAGCCGCGGAATATCATTACGAGTGGAGCTTTTATTTCAGTGAATATTATGCATTATAACGAAGCTGAGAGCGCACAATGGATTTTATTAAGTTTTACATGTGAGATGGTTCACAGAGGATTAGTGGCGAACTGGTCCGTCTTAAAATGTAAATTTCTCCGGTTTAGAGGCGCAACGTTAGCGAGAGATAATTATCCAGTCGGACAGAGAAAGCCGGGGTCCCTTTATATGGTTTCATAGTTCTCAAATCCGATTAATCTGGAGCGATCCAGGCGAGGCAACAGGAAGTCGTCCGTCGCGTCCGGCAAAAGGAAGCCGAAAAGGTCCACGGAGCCAAAGTTAGGCTGCAACAATTGCGAGGGTATTGATGTGAAGTCAGTTAGTTTAAATTTAACAACTCTCGTCTAACTTTCCAGACCTCGATGATGTTCAACCGTTCATTTGATTTTCTGCAGTGCAAAATGGAAATAATATTGTTTTAGAACATTACAGGAGAATGTTCCAACGTTTTCCTAATTGAGGATATCTTGGACGTGAAAATATGCAATCAATGATATGTTTAACACTGTAATAATGAAAGCGAAGTAATTTTGTCATGTCAAAAGTTCTATATCTACTCTGGATTCCTCGGCCGCTTCCCGAAAAAATTCCTAGCTTTTTACCTGGAGCGAGTAGCAACTTGGAACTTTCACAATCAGGATTTTTACCGACTTGGAAAAGATTGGCTCAAAACTTAACGTTTGTTTGTAACTGCACCATGTGCTTGAAAAATCCCTCACCTCTCATCTAGATTAACTAGCAACTTGAAACTTTCGCACTCCATCAAAGATACTTGAATGTGAACCATCGGCGAGTGTAATTCAAATCTTGCCGATTTTTCCCAACTTGGTAAAGTTTGGTCCAAAACTGAACGATGTCGCTCAACTAAGGCTGTTTAAAAAATTCCTAACTTCTCATCTTGATCAACTAGCAACTTGAAATGCGACGCTCTGAAAATATTTACAGGTTTCACAAAATCCAGATTTTTGTCGACTTGGGAAATATTGCCCTAAACATGAACGTTTTGGAAGAACTTCACCAGTTGTTTGAAAAAAATATTGTCTGCTGCTCTAGAACAAGTGGCAGATTAACACGTTTACAGGGTATGAAATACGCGTCATTATCAAACTTCCAATAATCTTAGTGAAATACTACCGCATCTAGATTATTCTCGACTTTCTAATTGTTAGTCTAAAAGTGAACGTTTAGACACAGCTACACCCTCTACTTGAAAAAATCGTAAGTTCTATTCTGGCGCAGTTCCATAGAAGGCACCCAAGCCTCAATCCGTTGAAAATTTCATACAAATAGCACCTCATAATGATTTTGGGCCACCTCGTAATAGGTGACTTGAAATTTTCAGAAAAAAAATCAAGACTGCGCCGTTAGAGCCAGGCAGAGCTTGAAAATTTGTGGTCTATACAGCAGTTTAGTAGTTAGCTGAAAACAGAAAAAATTCTGATTTTAGCTGAACTAGTAAAGATCGGTTCAAAAATGCCGTAACTCCAGATCTACATCTAGTGGCAACGCAAAACTTTCAAAAACGTTCACGCGTTGATTTTGTGGACTTCAAGTGAGCTGAAAAAAACGTTTTGAAACTACACTTTTAAATCGCCTTATAAAAATATCAGCGAATCTTTATTAAATGTTCTTCAGACATATGTTAGACTGTGTGTCGTGTTTTCGCAATTTAACCACCTTCAAAGCAGATAAGTTCCAAGTATCCACTCGCAGCATGCAAAAACCGAACAGTTACTTAAAAGTTATTACTTGAAGTGTGTACCAACGTGTAAAACCAACAACCCCATATGCCAGTTTAAACGAACAACGTCCTTGAGACATATTAAGCTCTTACGGAGTTTAATTCCACTATAACTCTCGAGAACTTCTTCGCCCTGTCGGCAGTCGGGGTGGGGGGGAAGTGTCAAATGTGTATCTGCTCATTCCCCCCAAGTTAATAACTCCATAGGAAAACTCCCGCGGGCGCTCTACAATCACTCCGAACGGGGTGGTGGATCATTTGAAATTTTGATCAGTTTAGCATACACGTCTAGACGGCGCTAGATGTTGTAACCAAGCATATTTTTTTTAATTCAATATCAATTAAAATTTTTGCTTCAGAGAATTTACACTCATCTGTAAAGTGGTTTTCCATTATTTAAAAGATATTAAATATAGCTAAATTTCTTTGGCTTTGCTGAATCGAGTTTTCTTTTTCGAAAGCAATTTTTTCCAGATTGAAAGGATTGTTAAAAAAGTGCTTGCAAGCGCGAATTTTTAACAATGCGCCGTTCCGTTCGATTCAATTCGGTTGTACGCAAAGGAATCTAATGAAACCGCATCAAAAGATATTTTCCAGAATCTTCTTTACTCGCACTATTATGTGTTGTTGATGATTCAGAATTATTTTTGCCGTATTATAAAGACAACTTGATCAAATCGTGAGTGAATAGAAGAACGGTTAGAGACTTATATCTGGGACTTGGGACTTTCCTGGTGATCCAAATAAGCCAACCAGGCTTTTAGTCACTTTTTTTAGTTCTTAATTAATTGTATTTTTTTTAATTTCAGGTGAGTTTGGTCATTATCTTCAGGCTTCTCAAACCGTGAAGGTAAAGTATGACATATTAAATATTTCAAACTTTTTCACCATTTCTATGCGTAGTTTAGTGGGCGTACTATACGATCGGTAGCGTTTTCTTGCCAGAACGATGTGACTGCATTTCACCATTGAAATACCAAGCCTTTTTACTTAATTATAATGGTTTTCTGCTATTAAATGGAAAACTTCCAGTTTTCCAAAGTATTCAATTGCATGCCCACTTGATATGTACAAAAAATTTAAAAAACAACATTTTAATTCAATTCACTTTGGAAAGTGTCTAATGTTTCAATTCAACCACTTGAACTCCTGAACTCCTGCTCAACATGCAGTTGCCCGTCAAACATTAATTGAGTTATATAATAATTGCGGGTTAATATATTTATGTAACAGTCAAACATAAATTGCATTCCACATTTTCAGCAAAAATTAATTATGCAAAATACCCCTCAGTGCCCCATAAATAAATGAACCATATAAAATCGTTATTTTAATCGCTTTAGTCTCATTTATTTGTATGTGTTTTATTTCGACCAAATAACACTAAATTTATGTATGTATTTTTTGCTTAATATCGGGCATGTTCTCCAAATACGCTATTATCCGGCCTATTTGAATAAAGTTTTTTTTTAAATTTGTGTTTTGATGATTCTTTGATATGTAGCTTGGTTTGTTCTAGTAATTGATTCATTTTTATGATATTATTGTTAACGATTTTAGTGAGAAGATGTTTTAGATAGCCAGTTGCCCAAAGGAATATTTTATCAAATTTTCTATTGAAACGTGAAAAACAGCAAATGCAAACAGCAGCGGTTTAAAAAAAACTCAATAAAAATGCAAACAATTTATTTTTTAGTCAGGGGGTACATTTCTAAAATAACTTTAAAGGTTGCGCTATTTATTTGAATCAAGCAAAGGAATTTGTACGTTTCCGGCTGCTCCAAGCAAGTCACTAGTCACTTGGTGAGGAAATCCAATCTAAAAGAATACGGTTTTTCAATTTATTGGGGCAAAATCTAGGAAAAGTAACGCAAATACACTGGTACTTACTGTTTTTTGCAAATCGGTCGCGACTTGATTTCCAATGTCGTTGATCATTTTTCCTAACTCGAAAGCTGTAATTAAAAACGTTTTTTTGTTGTCTTAAAATACGTTTTAAATGGGATTTTTTCAATAGTTATTAAGCGTGTGGGGTTCTTACCTCGACCTTGAACCATCGCTACAAGCAGGAATAATCCAAGGAAAATCGTGGTCATCTAAAATATGAAAAGCTCATCGTACGTGAAGTACAAAAATTAATGTGATTTTACGACATATTTTTACAACATTCTAAAATTTTCTGAATTTTGTCACAAAATATAAACAGAACAAAGGCTTATTTGCAAATGAACTTGAATAGGTTAGCAATTTTGAAATAATAGGTTTAAAAAGCTCTTAGTGCGCTAAGTGCCCTTCTTGCTTACTTGCATTTTGTAGATTGCAAAATCAACTAACTGCACTAACCAGGACCTGTTTGCTTTAAATACGTTTTGCAACTGAAGGTGTTAGTGTTTTTCACAGTTAGTGATAATAATTCCAAGTTTTTGCCATTCAATGTCAGGTTCGAGTACCACGTATGAAAATAAAATAATAAGTGACCTCAAGGATGTATTTTCATGCCCATTTTTTGCGCATTTTTCTACTTAGAGACAGCGGGTTATTGATAACAAAACAAAAGTTTACTTCGAAATGCGAAGCTTTTTGCATGCCTTCTGTTATCTTAGTAGTTCGGCATACGAATATTCAATCATCCACGTGCAAATCTTTAGGTTTTTTCGGCCCAATCAATTGATGGTTTTTCTGTTAACGCTAATCTTGATAGTATTGTATATTTTCCCAGTAATTCGTTGATTTAATAATGTTCTACGATCTGATAAGCATCTGCAAAAATTAATTTTTTATGGGCTTTAAAGACCAGTAACCCAAAGGCCTCAGTGTGCTTTTGAGTGCAAATAAATCAAAGTTTTCATCGAATCATCAATCGGGTAAAAGGGGTTTTCAAAATGGGCGCATAAAAAGCTCCACCAGTCCGCCCTTTAATGGCTCTTATGGATGTGCCGAATGAAAAATGCCACCGAATGAACTGCCAAATGCAAGTTTCTCAATTCATCACGTGAATAAGCTGGACGTGATCAGCTTGAGCCAGATGGGAAATCGTACATTGTTCTATGTATGATCGCGGATTTGATAAAAAAGTTACATTTAAGTGATGGAAATTGGCAAGTTCTGGGCGTTGCGAAAGTAGTTTGTTAGAAACTTGGTAGGATTAATGGGGAGAACTGAAAACGGTGACGTTATTTTCAACAGAGTGTAAAAAATAGGAAGGCCAGTCATGAATTTGCTTCTGCATGGTCAACAATTCCACGAATCCATGATGGGAAAGCACCTGCGTCTTTTACAAAATTCAAAACTGAAAATACGCTGCAGGCAATTTAAAAATGTTCAATAATCATTGCACCAGCCGCTGGAAAAGTCGTTGACACCCTATAAACTTTCATGATATTTTCCATCATCTCTGCGACATATCGCGAGTGAAAATCCACCCCTATTTATTTTGGAAAATTATAAAAGATATCAGACAACCATCAGAACGTTGTCGTCATCTTGACTTGACAGATATGGGGAAACGACCCACCGGTATGAACTGACATGGAGTTCAGCCGGATCCCGGATATCATTCCCCCTTTTTCAATATGCGCGCTATCGGCTCTAATAGCGGATTTGGACGTATAAAAATGCAAGCGCCCCCCTAAGATGCTTCTCCGGACATTTTTCCAGTCAAAAAACCCCAATTGAACGGCGAACGTTTTATTTTTAAGGGGTCCGAAAATAATAAACAGGTCACATATTAGGGCGCAAGAAGCACTCGATTACTCCAAGTCGCTGGTGCGAACGAAAGTGTCCCCAATTTAAAGCCAAGTTCCAATTCGAATGAACGTGAAACGGTTGGGAGTTCAAATGTAAACTGTAAAACTTTCTATTTGGTAGGATTTTGCCCATAAAGCATTGTCAATGTTAACAACGTCAAAGGGTAGAAGAAATTTCCAATTTTGTACCTCAAAGTGACTCTCTAAGGAAACAGTTTCAAATAGTAATTGATATTTTTATCATTTGCAAACCATTGTTTTCTGGTTTCTACTCATCTTCACGAATATGGTGTTTCATTGATTTTGATTATGAATCAAAATTGGCGTATTGGCGTCATTCCTCTGGAGGTGTTGTCTGGCGGTGTTTAAGGAGTACAGAAAAAATATTAATTGTTATTAAAAACAGAGAAATTTGCAAAAAACTATATTAGAAAAACGGCAACTATGTTCTTCAAGGTAATCTGCCTAATTAACATTACGTAAATACCTGTTGCTTCGTAACTCATAACCTCGAATAATTAATTTGTTTACAAATTACAAAAACATACATTTGAATCTGTAACTCCAAACAAGTGCCTGTAATCATCTTATTATGCACTCTTCTCGAGCAGCTTCTCGTATTCAGTTAATTAACTCCTGCTCAATTTATACCCGTGTTCAGTAATCAATTGGTTTAATATGATCTTACATACGTGGTAGGAATGTAGCCGGTATTTATTTGGTGCCTGGGTTGTCAGTTGTTGTTCTCTGTGCCCCTGAAAGGCTCTTTTGCAATTGTGTCCAATACTAATCGCATATCCGCAAATTTGTGAAAGGAAATTCATACTAAGTCACAGTTTGACAAATTATTGTTATTATTCGCAAGGGATATCCACCTGTAACTATCTGTTGATGACAAAAAACATCAATGTAGCTTTGATTTCTCATCAAAAAATTGTAGAAGTGAACTTTTTTAATATGAAAAATGTTCGTAATTTGAAGCAAAGATCGTAATTTTTCTTTTTGAATGCTTGAGTATTCCAATATGCTACTATTTAAACATGGAACACTTTCAAAATAATGCTTAATAACAAAGTTGAAATTCGATTTTCAACTGTTAATATCCTCTAGAAAGTATCAAAAAAAATTTTCAATATTTCTCTTGTACGTTCCAAATGAGCCCCTATTACCCCTTAAAAGGAATGACGCCAATTTCGAATCAGCCTGTATTATTGAAAAAATAGATGACGAAGAATTTTTTGAACAAAAACTTCTCAGCAGCAATTTGACTTGTTCCTTGAGTTGAAAGTACTTGGAAATGCCTTATTCTTGATTGACTTGCAAACGGCATGTTACGTGTTAAAAGTTAGTAAAATACAAGTGTCCTCACATTTTTAGTTGGATTTTCTCTTCTTAGCAAAGAGGGTAAAGTGGAATTCAGAAAATCGAAAAGAGGGGACTTATTCATACCAAAACACTCTGAAAAGCGCTGATAGCTTGGCTTGCGTTTTAGAAGTGTTCAATTTCGATAACTTTTACGTAAACAAATGTTACAACATTCTCGTTTGAAAACTCGAGGTTTTAATTAAATCATATTTAATGTCGATTCTCGAAAATTGGAATTATTGTGCATAAACTGTCGAAGAAAAGTAGCTTTTTAAGAATCACGGGCGTTAAGAGATTTTTGTCAAGAGTCGTCAGAAGACAATTTTGTCTCCAATTTGCTTTTTTTACATGCATTAATTGTTCAAAACTGTTTGAATCACATTTTGCATCTTCATGTGAAAGGAAAGTTATCTGTTAAAAACAGTAGATTGTAAAACGGTAAAAGATGTAGCTCTTATTTAAACTACTACTTTGTATGTAGTCTGTAAACAACACGCCGCATTTGTGGCAGGGGCGGATCCAGCTTTAAAGTCACGGTCGTCTGTTGTTTATGAAATTAGAAAAACGATCGTCGTTTTGTGCAAGGGTGGCGCAAGATTATTGCAAAACTTCATGTTTTCCGTCCCGTTTTGCATGTTTCTCGGAAGCTAAATTAGCAAGACCGCTCGTTTTTGCATCATTCCAAAGAGAACTAAATGGCCTTTTTAAGAATTACGGGCGTTAAGAGGAGCATAAACATCAGCAGCAGTGACCGGTTTTTTATCATTTCAACACTATTTTGTCTCCAATTTGCTTTGTAATTTACACATTCGTTTTCGATTAAAAAAAATAAAACAGGAAGCATTTGATCCGGCAATTAACCCATGCGCTTGTCAAGTTCGTGTTCTCTTTGTGGCCAACCACAAAAGGAAGAACTTGCCATCGCCAGCAACCGAAATTATAGCGTTATCCCGCTATTCCAAAAGAGTATCGAATTATCTTTTGTAGTGGACGTTAACTATTAACTAGCGTGGCCCCGTTATTCAGATAAGTGGCCCCGTTGTAATAAAAGCCTCAAAGGGGCCAAACTTTAACCCTGAGGCCCTTTTTGAGCTTTTGACTGAACCATTAAAACTTATCAGCGCACAATTGTCTGGGGCCAGCTTCAGCACCCTGTTTATACTGCTCTCTCTCGGCTTCACTTCCTATAAATTAGCGCTGTAGCTATTTGATGCCTACGAACTTTTCCTGTGTTGGTCAACTGTAGCTAACAGCAATAGATTTATAGCAGGTTAAAGTGTAGTTTGAAGAATTTGATGACCGTTTGCCCGAATCTTAAGGAATATTCCGCTAAGCGCACTTGTGTTTGGTATTTTTTTAATAGCAACCAGATTCCGGTTTTCTATACTTTAAACAATTGTGACAATAATCTTCGTGAATATCATAGAAAATTGTAATGTCCACAATCCTCCTCCTGTCCTAGATAGGACATAGCCAATAAATGGAACATTCCACCTTTCATTAAAGATCTTCTTTCTGCCGATTTTGTTGGTTGTTTTACCTTCTTTTCTAGGCATGTTCTTTGCTTACTTCCTTTAAACCCACGCGCTTGCTTCTTACTTTCAAAGATAAAATCGAGTACAACGTGTTTATATATGTACCTACATAAACCATTGTGTTCCTAATCGGATATGGCCATTTAACATCCGACGGAGCTGAACAGAACCATCATTGGCAGCTAGAAAAACAACTACGAAAATAGTCAGTCGGTCTGTAATTTCAGGTGCAAATTTTCGTCGATAGTGAAGTTCAAAACGGGCGCTAATGAAATGGAAGCATACCATACAAAAGCCTCCCTACATACATACAAAAGTGATGTAGGGAGTTGTAATTACAGAACGGCCCTATGATGATGGCCTGACCTTTGCCATGCCTCTAATGGTCGTAATGCATATGCAGTTCTTGGGTCTGATTGAATATTGGATTGAGGGCTACCGCGTTTGGTGTTTCTCGTCGTTTTTTCGAAATGGAAATCATTTGTTGGATTTATTTCGCATTTAATTTACTTAATTGGATTGGAAAATGGGTTTAAATGGGTTGCTGGTAACTCGACTTAAACAAATTAGCCTGAAAGGATGGACGGTTTTATGATAAACATACATAAGCATGTATATGAATAAAGCTCAATCTGGCTAGACTTTGCGTGAATTTTCCTGTCGAGTTTAAGTAAGCAGTGATCAGTTAGTTCGGATTTTGGACAAGCTTATATGCTTGTGGTAAAACTACTCAATTGAATCAAAAGCGTTTTTCAAACGGGCTCAA